TCTCATTCACCTTTTGTGACAGCCTCACGAGACAGATAGGCAGGCCAAGGATTATTCTCCCAATTTGATAGGTATGGGACTAAAGCTCAGAGAGAGACCTGTCCGTGATCTCATAGCTAGTTAATGGCAGAGCTGGAACTGGATCCCCAGTCTCCTGACTCCTGTCACATGCATGAGGTCCACTCACTGTGAGATGGAATTTCAACCTGCTTGGATCTTTTGACCCCAAACCATAAGTTCTTGCTATTTTGTGTTGCTGAAATTCCCACTGCCTTGCTATGATTATAGGGTGAAGCCCTGAACAGTGGGGTTGGAGGAGATGTAGGGAACCGAAGATAGGAAAGGGAGAATGTCTCTTACTCAGTATACTTTAGTAAGGACTTGATATTTACTGAGTGTTCAATTTTCTCTTCAAAGAGGAAATAATGAAAAACTAAAGGTTAGATATATTTAATTAGACTACTGTTAATCTCTTGCATATACTTAACACTTCATACTTTACAAAGGGCTTATGCATGTGTGTGTGTGTGTTTTTAATTCACATACCATATATCATTCATTTAAAGTGTACAAGTCAGTGTTTTTTAGTATATTCACAGGGTTGTGCAGCCATCACCACCATCTAATTTTGGAACATTTTAATCGCCTCAAAAAGAAATCTCATACCCATTAGCAGTCACTTCCCATTCCCCATCCTCTCGCCAGCCCTAAGCAACCCCTAATCTTCTTTCGGTCTCTATATATTTACCAATTCTAGACATTTAATATAAATAAAATCTAGCTTCTTTTTATTTAGCACAATGTTTCAAGGTTCATACATGTTGTAATATGTATCCATACTTTATTCTGTTTACTGCTGAGTAATATTCCATTGTTTGGATATGCCACATTTTGTTTATTTATTGATCAGTTTACAGGCATTCGGCTTGTCTCCACTTTTAGCTGCTATGAATAATGCTGCTATGAACATTCATGTACAAGTTTTTGTATGGACATATGTTTTTGTTTCTCCTGAGTATGTGCCTACAAGTGGAATTGCTGGGTCATATGGTAACTCTTTTTGAGGAACTGTCAAACTGTGTTTGTGTTTATAAATTTACTAAGATATATTTCCCATACCGTGAAAGTCACCCATTTACAGTATACAGTTTAGTGGTTTTAGTATTTCAGAGGGTTGGGCAACCATCACCACAATCTAATCTTAAAAAATTTTCATCACTTCAAAAAGAAAACACCATCCTCATTAGCAGTCATGTTCCCTTCCCACTCCCCCATCCCAGCCCCCAGGAAACCGCTAGTCTACTTTCTGTCTTTATGGATTTGCCTATTCTAGACATTTCACATAAATAAAATCATACAGTCTATAGCCTTTTATCACTGGCTTCTTTCACTTAGCATAGTGTTTTGAAGATTCATCCATGTTGTACCATGTATTAGTATTTCATTCATGCGGCTGAATAATATTCTATTGTATAGATATATCACATTTTGTTTATCCAGTCTCTACCTCTCTCACCATTTGGCATTCTCCTTCTATGTCTCTGTTTTCTCTTCTTATAAGGACACCAGTCATTAGATTAGGGTGCACCCTAATCCAGTATGACCTCATTAACTCATTCTAATTTAATTACATATGCAAAGACCCTATTTTCAAATAAGGTCACATTCTGAGGTTCTAGGTAGATGTGAGTTTTGGAGGGACACTATTTAACCCAGTATAGGCACCAAGGAATAATCATGTAAATTCAGGTAGAAATCTTTTAAAGTTGCAAGCAGAAGTGGGATTTTGGTAAGGGTTAGTGCCAAAACAGCTTTGAAAGAACTTTTCTGGAGCTGCAGACCATAATGGAGCTCACTGGTTTTATAGACATAGCTTTATGTTGGTAGAAAAAAATTCCAAGCGTCTGTGGGCCCAACTCATCCTAACCCCTACTTCATCTTATTAACAGACTTTGAAAACCTCTCTGATTTTGACCACAAGAAATAAGCATATTTGGATTTTTGTGCCAGGGAAAATTCTTTTATTCATTCAACAAATATGTATTGAATAGCCACTATATACTGGGACTGTTCTAGGCACTGGGAATGCAGAAGTGACTAGAACACATTTTGAGTACCTAAATATGTAGAGTTTTCTAGACCCTTTATGCATTTCATCCTTATAACCACCATATGTCAGTTTGTAAATAAGGAAACTGAGACTCAGAGAGGTGAAATGATTTCTCCAGTTCTACAGGTAGACAGGCTGGGTCACAGATTTGATTCCACAGCCTGAGCTGGAGGCAGAGGACACCAGAGGTGAGGACAGATCACTCCTCTTTTATACAGACCCACAGCCCAAGCATTCAGCATAGGGGACATGAAGGATGTTTTGGGTGACAAGGCAGGATAAGGAGGTTGGGACAAAATGGCGTTTCTTGTCAGACTGGGGAACCTGGACTTGATTCTGAAGGCAGTGAGGAGTCTGAATGTTATTGAGGCGGTATGACTTATTATGGTATGTACTTCCTTTATTTAATCAACACATATTTATGGAGTTGTGTCACACACTGGGCTTGATGCTAGGTATAAAACTGTTACAGAAGAGACAGAATCTCTGCCCTCACTGAGTTTACAGCCTAATGTATGGAGTGATGAGAGAGAGGTTGGTATTTTCCTGAATTTCTGTTTGAAACACAGGGTAATACTGGTGAGGAACAAGGTTGAAAAAATAAACAGGAAAACGGTTTTAAAAAGAGAGAGCTTTGTAAGTCATCCCGAGGATAACAGGGATCCATTGAAGAATTTTAAGCAGGGCAGTGACATAATGACGTGATGTGGTTGTTGAGAAACAGAAAAGAGTCATAGATAATGCCTAGGTTTCTGGCTTGGAGACCTGATTAGATGGTGATGTTGATGTACTTCACTGAGATAGAGAACACAGGAGGAGGGTGAGGAGATCAGTTGAGATTGTTGAGCTTGACTTGCTTGTGGGACATCTGAATGGAGGTGCCCAGCAGACGGAGGGATATTCAACAGGGAGCCCAGGAGAGAGAACTGAGCTAGAGATTAAGATTTGAGAGTTGTCATCACATAGGTGGTAACTGAGGCTGTGAGAGTGGACAGGATACCCCAGGAGAGTCTCCAGAGTGAGAGTGAAGCTGTAGGAGAGTCTGGGGCATAACCCTGAAGACTGCCCCCATTGAAGGGGTGGGCAGAGGAGGAGGAGTCTAAAAAGACCATGGAGAATGTAGAATCGCTCCAGAGGCTTTCTCTTTGCACCTTCCCTGTGTCTTCTCAGGCAGCAGCTTGTGTTCATTCCCTGGCGCCATGGCTACTCCGTCCCCTAGCATAAAGCCTCTGTGCTCTGCCATTAGAGAATTCATCTTGCAAATCTAATGGAGTAATGAAGCCATTGATTCTGTTAACAAACGTCCAGTTCACTACAAGATCTATAATGGGAATTCATTTAGGAGGTCAATACAGCTGTCACTGGAATAGTTTTTCCCCAGAGGCCTATGGCTTTTTTTGTTGTACACTGGCAGAAGTTGTCCTGCCTAGCATCAGAAAGACTGGAGAGTAATTAATACTGTAGAGCATTAATGAGCTGGTGGTCCTGCCTAGGGCTATAAGAAGAGTACAGCCTGAAATAGGTCAGATAACAGGGAGTGAAAACAGAACTATGTCCCCTCTGAAATGATTTGAATAACCCTAGAAAGCCACCATCATCACCACTAAAGCATTATCCCTCACTAGCTATCACATCACCAGAAATTACATCTTTAAACCTTTATTTGTTTTGAACAAAAAGTTTCGCTGTTGGAATTATTGTATGCTGAATGACTGTTTTTGCTTATTCTGCAAACACAAACTAAGAACTTCCTATGTACCTGGTCTTTATTAGGTAAATGCTGGGACTATAGAGGTAACAACATCAGTTCTTAGAAACCCATGGGCTGGACAAGGAAGCAGAGTGACGTAATGAAGCATGAGCCAAGTGCTGTTGGCACCTAGAAGAAGATCGAGTCCAGGAAGGTTTCAGAGAGAATATGATATCCATGTAGCGTCTTAAAGTCTACATATGAGTGCCAGGAGAGCAGAAGTGAAAGCTAGGCGAAAGGTACAGCATAAGCCAAAAACAAAGAATCATAAAAGAAGCTGGTGTGTTCAGGACTGATGAAGCTTCCATATGCCTTGGGTATGGGAGGAGAAAAGCAGGAAATAGGTCAGACTGTGAAAGGCCTTGTATGTTATGCTAAGGAATTTGGACTAAGCTTGGAGAGCCAGCCAAATGAATAATGCCCTTGGCTTGGGGTGTAGCACTCTAAGCTATTATCTGTCTTTAATACCTCGCTTCCTTTCTAACACAACAGATGAGACTTTAAGATAAGAGTTAAGAGAAAAAAAGACCGATAGAGAGTAGTGGGTACAAGAGTTGGGGAGTGGGGAACATCGCTATCCTCAGAGGACTTGGAAGGGCAGGCAGGAGGAGCTGGGACCAGTCGTAAGGGACAGCTCCAAATATATTTGTGCTTTTATCATTAATACAGTAAGGCACAGTCCAGGACCTCAGTGAATGAGTCTCCAGGATGCAAAGCTTCATTTAACAAAGCTAGCCTTATCTTTGAGGGAGGAGATGAGAACAGGAGCCCCCAAAGAGAAGGAAGGCAGTGGTACTCAGTACCCCAGAGGCTGGCCTTGCCTGAGGGCTGGAGTCACATTCCTGGACACAGGTAGCCACACCTCCTGGAAGTGGGCCAGATCCTGGGCAGTATCTGCCCAGGTTGTGATAGAGAGTGGCCTCCAGGTGACTCCAGGAGCAGTACAGAGGTATAGACCCAGGAGGCCACAGCCCTCCTTTCTGGGAGGGCAGAGCGGGGGCAGGTGTGTGATAAGGAGGGAATGCTGCTGCTGGATCATTGCCTCTGCTCTTAATATTTCTTCTTCCTCTGACAGCCACTTTGAGATAAGGACACCTTTCCTTCCTTTTTCATTCACAGAGCTCTTTCTCCTTTTCACAGACTCCCTGAGAAACATTTCCTCAGCCAGTCATGGCCCCCGCTCTTCTCCAGCTGAGCTCAGCAGCTCCAATCAGCACCTTCTCCGAGAACGAAAATCCTCAGCCCCATCGCACTCCAGCCAGCCAACCTTGTTCACATTTGAGCCCCCTGTGTCAAACCACATGCAGCCCACCTTGTCCACCAGTGCACCTCAGGAGTATCTCTACTTGCACCAGTGCATAAGCCGGAGAGCAGAAAATGCAAGGTAGGAGCCTGCTGTGAACAGTAGCTGGTAGAGTGACCACTCACAGGGCCTAGTACTTTTCAGTCTCTGTTTTTTCATTTTAAAGACAAAGAAGTAAAATGTTACATCTTTTCGGGTAAACAAATATATATTTATAGGACAAAACACCATTTTTTCGCTTAGGTAACCTTCACATTTTATTGGTATCATCTATGTTGCTATACAGTGATAATTGGCTTCCAGAGAAACCTCCCATTATCAAAAATCATGCTATAAAAATTTTCTCTTTTCTTTGGGGAAAAAAGGCATTAAGGGCTAGAGTTTCAGAACTGAAAAAAACAAAGTCAGTTTACTTGTTGGCCTTAAGAGTATAGCTATAAAACCTTACCATTATTGAACAAATCCATATTTCACTTTTGCTCTAGAGCTGCACTGTTCCATATGGTAGCCACTATCCACATGTGGCTATTCAAATTAATTAAAATTAAATTAAATTAATTACAATTAAATAAAATTTAAAATTAAGTTCCTCCATTGCACTAGCCACATTTCAAGTGCTCAGTAGCCACACATAGCTAGTGGCTACCATACTGGATAATACAGATAGCAAACATTTTTATCATCACAGAAAGTTCTAGAGCTAGGACTCCCTGCTTTAAAAAAACTGTCTTTGTCTTTCTAACACCACCAGCGCTCTCTCAAGTGCAGAGCCTATACATATTTTTATTACCTTTTGTTCTCATTTTTGGGATAAACAAAAGCACAGAGCTGATGGGCTTTGCCACAGCTGGTTCCCAATTGCTACCATGGCTGGCAAATTACAAATCATGTTCCTTAATTAATTAATGTAGAAATATCTAATTTGTATTATGAAAATTAAAGCAATTAGAGAATTGGCTGTATTAATGTATCACTCTCACAGAATATTTTCATGTATAATCTCTCTTGAACCAGTCAAACACACTGAGAGATGGCCAGTGTAGATCATTTATCTCTATTTCATAGATGAAGAAACTGAGACTCACAACTAATAAAGGACTAGAACCCAGGTCTTCTCATTTCCAGTTCTGTACTCACTTCTCGACACTATGCTACTGTGATTCTGGTTTTCTGAGTTATTTACCATGACACAACAGAGGCTCCCAACACTTAATCTTAAGGCTGCCTCAGATACCCATTTTCCTGAAGCAGCATGATTCATTTCTGTGAACTTGCACTAGTTCAGCCTTCATCAACTTATACATGAAGAGCTGAGTTCTAAGAAGGCAGAATGAATTAGCCAAGATCACAAGTTAGTGGCAGAACTGTAAATAGCACCTGATTCTCCTGAGTCACAGACCAGAGAATCTGTGATATAATGAAAAGCATCTTACAGGCTTTGGAGTCAGTCAGATATGGGTTCAAATTCAGGTTCTGCCACTTCATTGTGATCTTGGCCAACTTATTTAACCTTCCTGACCTTCAGTGTCTTTATCTGCAGAATAGGAATAATTAATTCAGTGGCTTACTAATGAGAATAAAATGACAAAACATACATAAACTACCCAGCAGTAGACGCTCAGTACATATTACCAGTTGTTCTCCTGTGCCCCATCCCCTTCTACGACGTGTATGATTGCCTGGGAGTAGAGATGTGAGGTCTTACAATCCTGGTTCTAGGGAAAGACAAAATCCTTTATAATAGTGCCTCTCAAACTTTCATGTACATGTGAAATACTTGAGGATCTTGTTGAAATCCTGATTGTGATTCAGTAGACCTGAGTAGGTCCTGAGATCCTAAACTACAAATGATGCCAGTGCAGATTGTCTGCAGATCACACTTTTAAGTAGAAGGCCTTATATAATATTAACAACCACCACCACCCCCACTCCCATGATACTGCTAAAGCAACAGAGAACAAATATATAAATGTCTCTACTTGAATTAGCAGTTAGGGCCCACTCTCCGCATCCCCACCTCTCTAAAACCTCCCTTCATCTTCCTAGCTGGAATTCATTTCTGCTGTGAATTCTCATGGCAGTTTTTGATCCTCTCTCTCACAGCGCTTGGAACTTTCTGCTTCCTAATATGGATTTTTATATTAATAGATTACTACTCTTTGAAGACAGGACCCAGGGCACACAGTAGGTGCCTAATAAATATTTGAACAAATCCGTGTTGTAGAGAGATAACGTAATAGAGGAGATAGAACTTATCTATAGCTGGGGAAGCAGCTTTATTGTGGCGCCTTGACCAAGCTGTGATTTTCTCTGTCTTTGTTTTCTCTTGTGTAGGTGTGGGAGCAAGAAGGTGATAAGCAGGATCTCAGGGAGATTTTTGGAAAAAATAAGTTCAAACATTTTTTGCAGAATTCCAAGGGGGGCATGGAGGGTGGGAAGGAAGCTTTCTTCAGTCCAGAAAAACTGTATAGTTTCTGATAGTAGTAGAGTAGCTTGCATGATACTAAACATACTGTAACAATTATAAACTCTGGACAAAACATAAAAAAACAACTGTTTGAAGGCACTGAAGAACAATGAAAAAGCAGGCAGAAACTGGAAGAGATGTGACTCTTAAAAGGAGGGACCCACACTGGGTGGGTCCAATTTACATGTTTTTTCCTATGGAGGAAATTCCTATAACATATCATCCAAAATGTTCAGTATACAATGAGAAATTGCTAGACACAGGAAAAAACTGTAAAAGTTGACCCATAGTTGAAAGAACTCAGTTCTTTCAAATTTTGGAGCTAGCATACAAAGATTTTAAAATGATTGTTAATTGCTTTCATCTGTGGGATGAAAATGGATAATAAGTGAAGAGATGGTAAAATTTAGGAGAGAGATGGAAACTCTGAAAAAGAACTTAGGAGTTCCAGTTCTAAGTGTGGGACTGACCCAAACCAGCATAACAAAGGCTTTGTGAACTAAACTGAGATTTGTGCTACCACACACAGGCGGAGGATCAAAACTTGCAGTCTGAGCCTAACCAGGTGTGCTGCCTGCAAAAACAAAAACATCAGCATTCTTCAGATGATTATAACAGAACCCAGAGTCTATATAACTTAATATCACAGCATTCAGAATATAATTCAAAAGTTTTCAGCATACAGAGAACCAGCAAAGTGTAACCAGTTTTCAAGGGAAGATGCAGTTGTCAACCCCAACATAACCCAGGTGTTGGAATTATCAGACACAGATTTAAAAGTCCATGTTATAATAATATTCCATGTGATAATGAAAAACACACTTGAAATTAATGGAAAGAAAAAAAAAACTCAATCAATCCAGAAGTCTATAGCGTGCAAAAGTATCCTTCAGGAATGCAAACAAAATTAAGACATTCTCAGATGAAAGAAAAATAAGAGAATTTCCAGGAGATCTAATTTAAAGAAATGATAAGGAAGTTCTTCAGGCTGAAGCAAGATAGTACCAGAAGGAAACTAATATCTTCAGGAATGAAGCAAAAATAGTAAATAGTAAATATAGTAGATATCTGCATAATTATGAAAGACTATTTTTTCCCTCCTAAGTTCTTTAAAATATGTATGAGTGTTGGAAGCAAGTGTTAAACATTGTCTAGTGGAGTTTTCACATGGTTTTCTTTCACTTCAGCCAGAAGAGCTTCCTTTACCATTTCTTGCCATGTGAGTCCCCTCATGATATATTTTCCCAATTTTCATTTATCTGGAAATACCTTTATTTCATCTTCATTTTTGAGAGATATTTTTGCTGGGTATAAAATTCTGGAATGATGGTTTTATTTTTCTTTGGCATTTTAAAGGATACTATAGTCTTCTGACATCATTGTTTCTAATGAGAGGTCAGCTGTTCCTTGATTCTCATTTTCCTATGTGTAATGTATCTTCCTTCCTCTAAATGATTTTTTGCTCCCTTTTTAAAAAACTGTGGTAAAATACACATAAAATTTACCATCTTAATCATTTTTAAGTGTACAGTTCAGTGGTGTTAAGTACTTTCACGTTGTCACGCAACCAATTTCCAGAACTCTTTGCGTCTTGCAAAACTGAAACTGCACCCATTAAACAATTCCCCATTTCTCCTTCCCCTAGCCCCTACAACCTCCTTTCTACTTTCTATGTGGATGAATTTGACTTCTCTAGGTAACTCATATAAGTGAAATCATACAATACTTGTCTTTTTGTGATTGGCTTATTTCACTTAGCATAATGTCCTCAGGGTTCATCCATGTTGCAGCATATGTCAGGATTTCTTTCCTTTTTAAGGCTTAATGATATTTCATTCCATGTATATACCACATTTGTTTGTTGGTCATTTGTATATCTTCTTTGGAGAATTGTCTATTCAGGTCCTTGGCTCATTTTTTATTGTTTTTTTTTGTTGTTGGGTTGGTGAAGTTCTTTATATATTGTAGATATTAATCCCTTACCAGATATATGATTTGCAGATATTTCCTCCATTCTATAAGTTACCTTTTCATTCTGTTGAATGTGTCTTTTGATGCACAGAAGTTTTAAATTTTGATGTAATCCAATTTATCTATATTTACTTTTGTTGCCTGTACTTTTGGTGTCGTATATAAAAAATCATTGCCAAATCCAATTTCAAGAAGCTTTTCCTCATATGTTTTCTTCTCAGAGTTTGATAGTGTTAGCGGTTACATTTAGGTCTTTGATCTGTTTTGTGTTAATTGTAATATATGGTGTAAGGTAAAGGTCGAACTTCATTTTTTTGCATATGGATATCCAATGTTACCAGCACCATTTGTTGAGAAAACTGTCCTTTCCCCATTGAATGGTCTTGGCATCCTTGTGGAAAATCATTAGGCCATCTGTGTGAGGGTTTATTTTTGGGCTCTGTATTCTATTCCATTGGTCTGTCTGTCTGTCTTTAATGCCAGTGCCACACTGCTTTAATTACTGTAGCTTTGTAATATGTTTTGAAATCAGAAAGTGTGAGACCTCTAACCTTGTTCTTCTTTTTCAAGATTGTTTTGGCTATTCGGGCCTCTGACTATTTTAAGTTTTTTTTCCTTTATCTTTGTTTTTTAGCGATTTAAT